ACTTGCCGGCACACCAAGCCAAAATCCACACGCAAGGCCAGACAGCGAACGGAGAATAATAGATCAGCCCAAGGCCAACACTTGCAGCCGTAACTTTAAACTGCTGATCGATAAAATTCAGTATTTGTTTTGACAAAGGACAGCAGGCCCAGTTATTTGAGACGTCAGCAAATCTTTAGATTTATTCCGGTGAATAGAAGATGAATTATAATTCATATCCCGGAATTTTGACATCTTCGAATATGAGCTTTCTAAATCTTGTTCGCTTTTCGAGTACCTCAGAAAAACACCCTCCTTTGCTTGTATTTTACCCCCGATGAATTGTATACCCTGGAAGATACCCTCGTGAACACCCAAGGAATTTGGATTAATTAACACTTTTCGTAGATTTGAGTAATTTATTTTATCTACTTGTGAAAACAATGGCCTCGGGCCATTCAAACCCGCATCAACAAAGGGAAGATTAAATAAACCCAGCGTTTTAACCTCCTAAACTGCGAGTCCAAAAGGGGAGTCGTAAGCTCCATCACACTTGGTTCATGTAGTTTGCACAGCCAGAGGCAATCCAAGGCGAATCCTCATATATCTACGACCAGTTTGTGAGTACTTTTTATTCAAAAACCTTTGGAAGCCGTTGGCAAAGTGTTCGTTCGCAGAGGACCCAACCAGAAACAGCATTTATGGTCTTGCATGCTCTGCGTTAGAGCAAGAATGTATCTCAAGATACCGACCTGTCTGATGCGAAAGTAATCGTTTAAATTGCACACTAGCCCAAATATACCATATGCAGCAGTTTTCATAAATCCAAAACTAACTAAATTCCGAAGAGCAGTCTGGGGTGGGCCATTACATTCCATGCCTAAATTGTCCCGTTAACTACACAGGTTCGTGCGTCCATGCTGGGATCGCGCGTAAACTGACAGCATCTGGCTGTGTAACGGGGCACCGAATTAACGCAAGTGGCTGTCACCAGATAAATAACGGCCATTAGTTCCACCTCACAGCGGTCAAGATAATCAATTAAACCGAAAGCAAGAAGAGTCGATAACTGACTGTAGCCCGGTCCCCGAACCTCTAAAGTGAATTCTTGATCGTTTCTTTGATCGAACTCCCTAAAAGTGTAGCCTAATTTACTGCTGAGGTTGAACTACTGCATGAGTTCAAAAACTCAGACTAATAAGAACATTATTTCCTTGATCGAATAGTCTTCGTATTTATTAATATAGCTGTTCATTATTTATAAATTTTTTCTAGCAAATTCCTAAGTGTATGCTTCCGCGAAAATTATTAAACAAACATAGCAGTAACAGAGCTGACCCACAGTGCATGAAACTTTTTACTATGAACAATATTTGGCATATCTGCTTGCTTATGTCCCATTTGTTTTCAACAATATATTCTTTAGTATTCCTTCTGCGTATTATTACCCCACAAACGCGAAGTACCAGACTGTCTATTATGACTAATATGCAGTTTGGATTTACTGGGAGGTGGGCTGAAGACAACGGGAGGCTTACGGCATCTCAGTTACTTTTATCAGAGACAGTTAAACTAAGGTCTAAACAAATATCAGTATTCATGTCTTAACGAGACGGACGTTAGGCGACTATTACTTAAAGACAAAATGCTCTGAAAGGCTGAGCAAAACTATGTCCCAACTTAGCTACCTTATCTATGGGAAGATTAGGCGAACATAATTTATCCACCAGTTTAAGAGCTTTGGCATAAAAATAAAATAATATTTCTAAAAGGTTTTTATTTTTAGGAAATAACAGAAAAAAGGCAATTTTTGAGCAATAGCATAAGGAAGTAGTAGGCATTCAAGTGTCTACAGACAAAAGTAACCAGTTCTTTTGTTTATGCAGGAATTCACGTCTTTCTTTGGTACCCAGGGGTTTACACTCTTCGCCTGCTCATACCAGAGAAGAATGAGCGGTGGTCACTGCTATCGCTGTCTGAACTGCTGGAACTGCTGCTGCTGGTGCTTACGTGGCGTAGCCTTCGGGGTTGCAGCTGACTCTGATCCGCAAAAGGCTGGAAACGCCTGAAGTGTTCGTTTTCACTGTCAGAACTGCTGTCGTTGTCACTGCTGCTCTCAGCCCTGTATAGGAAAATAGTGCTTCTCTCCGAATGCCGCGATTTATGAGCTGGAGTCAGGGCTGCAGCACCTTTTGTGATATTCTTGTGCTTATGCGAAGCCAAGAGGTAAACACCACCGTTTGGAAGTTCGGGCCCTCCGTAGGCATCTGAATCACTCGAAGAAGAGGAGGAAGAGGAACTGCGGTATTTCTTAGTGGATTTAGGATTATCAAATGCCACAAAGTGGCATTCACTGTCTTTTCTTGCACAAGTCGGTTCGGATGGTTTGGGCTCTCGTTTTGGTTCTGGTGCTGGTCTTGGTTGTGGTTCTGGTTCTGGTTCCGGTGTAAAGCAAGCGCGTGAGCTAACGCGTTCTCGAGAACTCGAAGAGGAGGAGAATGATAAGGACCTGGATGACCTTCGGCTTGCCGTCTTTGACTTCTTGGACACCGGCGATCTACGACTCTGTAACGGGGATACTGACGGAGCCACCGGGGTGGAGATTGAGGTAGTACTCTTGAAACTACGTCGGCTACTAGCGCTGGGAGATCGCGAAGCTGCAGTTCGCGAAGCCGCAGTTCGCGAAGCCCGAGGTGTAGGACTTCGTGCCGTTTGTTCCTTTGCGTAAACTTGTTCTGTCTTCTCAACGCTCGATGTTCTAGATCTGCGAGAAGACGATGAAGATGAAGATACGGAACGACTCTTCCGTTGAAGTTCGTTTGGAGTCTCCGCAGTTCTTCTGCTGCTGCGAGAGCTTGTGCTTGAACTACGACTCTCCCTCGTGGCAGCGCTCTTAACGTCCGTAGGACTTCGGCGGCTTAAGACTTCGCTTGAACGTCTTGAGCTGGCAACGGCGGCCGAGTTATCTATCTCTGGCAACGGAGCTGGTTTGTTCTTTAAGTTGGATTTCTCCGCCCACTGCGCGGCTTGAAACACTTTAACAAGTCTCACTGCTTTTTCCACAGTTGTAGGGGCAAAGATCACGTATTGTGGCTTGATCTCCTTAGTCTCAACAGCCACTACGACACATCCGGGATTATCAGAGAATTGATAGAATCCTTTTACACCAGTATATGGCATCTTTTCCATTGGAGGCTTCTTACCGCCTATGCCCTTTTTCTTCAGACCCAAACCCGTTTCACCAGCAACCATTTTTGCTTTGATAGACTTCTTACCTTCCAGCAGCTTCTTCAGCCCCTTTTGAGCATCCTGGGGATTGAAGGGAGCCTTGGCGTTGCGTGGTATAGGACCATATATCTGCACAGTATCTTCAAAGTAGAGAGGTGCCTTTTTCTTGTCAGTGCCGATAGGCTTCAGAGTTGCCATTCCTGCTTTGAGTTCAGATTCTAGAATTGCAGTGTGCTGTAACCTTCACCAGGTTCATGTATTTATTTGATTACTGTGGTCAAGGGTGTTACAGGCTGCCAAGCACACCGCCCCGTGCATCTGCTTAACGTTTTCTGCAATTGGTTGGCTGTAGAAGTAACTGATTCATTCATGACGCAGTAAACGCCTACAAGCTCATTAAGTGGTGCACGAACTTTGGTCCGTGCTCGTGGTTGTTTCTGCTGGTGCACTTGAGTTAGTGAGACAGTCAACTGTTAGATGTGTAACTGTAGGATGCTGGCGGCTGGTTTTCAAAAGTTGGTCACGTAATTATCCCCCTGAATGAAATCGATTATCTGGTGAAAACAGAGGGGTGACAAAACCACCGAAAATGCACACTGGTGGTAGAAATCGTGACGATTCTACTCGTACTTTTATACTATATAACTACAGAAATTTGGCTGAACTCAAAATACTACTGCTGCCCTTCCCCAGTTATCAGTGACTGTATATCGTACTTTGATCTCTGACGATGAAACATTGGTCAGATCACAGTAGAATTATACAAATGTTTGGCCCTTGGGTAGATAAATGTAAAAATACTGTGACTGTTAAGATATATATTTTCGGTTTATTGAAACCTGGAGGATTCACCTGGCTTACGCGTATACGAAAAATATCAGATAAACTAGCAATCTAACTAATATGTCCTGGTTTAAGGCATGTTTAATTCCTTAATTGATGCACTCCCATAACTTATTTAATTTGCCAAAACTAACTTTGCTTTATGCCTAAGGACTTAGTATATTCCACCATAATTTAAAGTTTTCAAAGACATTAATGATACCAGCCATCTTCGGCTTTACGTTAGTGGAAGGAAGATGTTACAAGACGTGAAATGACATTCTATACTGCTTCATTTACCATATGGGGCTTGAGAGTATTAAGATACCACATTTGTTTTAATCTAGTTGTGACCATAGTGATTTACGTGGCGTTTTCTATGTCAAGAATCTCATTTCGAACTTATATGGACAGTGGTATCTTAGCCGTTTTTATTACTATACAAAAGTTCTTTCATTGGGGCTGGCCACAGTGCACATAAAAGTGCTGTACTGGCAATAATTCACTTGGCTTTCAAGCTTGCCATGATATTTGGTTTAAATCATAACCAACCGAGTTTTATCCTAGTTTTAAGCGTTTGTAAAGTACATAGTTTTTGGTTTTGTCCATAGTTTATGAACACTCACCGACCGCTAACGGAACTCACTTGTCCCGCTCTGCCTTGGACCTCATTTTTCAGACCCTGAATGCAGCCGTAGTGGCTAATGATCTAGTAGGTGTTGATGGAAAACAGATAAGAGATTTTTTGACCGTGGTGGTTGCGGTTAAGGCGATTGTCACCTCTAACGGGCATTTCGTTTCGTTTGCATAATTGCTTTATCCGAACGTGCACAAATGACCCGGTCTATGCCAAAATCGCGTTCTCTTAGTAAATCACACTTCATATGGCGCTCTTCGAGCGGCCTTTGAGACTTGAGCACAAACCACGTTTACCTATAGCTAACTGAACGCGCATCAGCAGTGACAAGGCATGACTTTACTTCATTCTCTCTGATCCGTTCACATCTTCACTTTTTATGAGGCCGAAATGCTTAAGGGAGATATCAACCGCACGAGTGGTAAGCTTTTTGAATCAAGTTTTCAAGATATTGGTCTGTTACCAAGCGAAATGACTTAGCTCTTTTATATTATGTCCTGAGACTTTGCCTAGGCTCCATGGGAGCGCTCGGATAAGAACAGATGTCACTAATATGATTTTGATGTTTTCAGAAATGCTCATGTGAACGGGTAATTTTTGCGGCATAGCATTCATTTTCGGCCTGAAAAATAAATTGAATAGCTGATGAACAACCCAACAGCTTTT